TCAGTCAGGTCCCCTCTTCTTTTGAACTTGATTTGGATTGTCTAGCAATCAAAATAATTTGTATGGAATCAAAAGGAAAAGAATTTAAAAATAGGTAGGGAAAGGACTGACATGTACTCTGGCTATTCTGCTCTACTTCTGAAATGCTGGTTTCCAAGAATTGTAGCTCCTGTCAAATTACTCATTAGTATTTACCTCTCATTTTTTCTGCCATATCAATAACTAGCACTTGTCATCTTTAAAGTGCTTCTCAAACATTAAATAATCTCAGATTACATACTCTGTTCTTTGCATTTATCTTGACCAGCTGTCAGAGAAGGCCATTTATTCACCCTCAATTTTATTCTTCTTGGCTCTATGTGGCTTTTGCAGTAAATTTGAATAGAAAATGAAAGGTACAACTTAATATGTTTTATAACAAAGGGGACATAAAATTTTCTTTAAGCACGATAACCTTCAGGTTACTTTCAAGTTGTTTATTGCTTTGCAGTTGTATAGTGAATATGTTTTTATCAGTATTGAGTCTGAATTTTTAAGTGAAAATTTTGTGGACATGAATACAATAAAAAATATAATTTACTATTAAATTTATCATTTTCATCTACTTAAAAATTATACCATAATCATCTGGTCAGAATCATAAAAGGAATTCAAATTATATCCATTCTGTAAAAATATATATTTTGTATTTTTAAACTCTGAACTTGCATTAATTTCTGAATTTATAGTTTCCTACTTTTCTAATCAAAAAGGAAGCAGTTAGAAATACATGTTTCTTTTTTATCGGTGCATTATTATTGTACACACTGATGGGACTTGTTGTTACATATTCATCATATACACAGTATAACCATATAATTTGGCCACTATCACTCCCTAGAATTTCTCCCCTCCAGCCCCACTTGCTACACCTTTGTCACTTTCCTCTACTGTCGTATTTCTTTTAAAATATTCAACCTTTAAGAATTTGACAAAGATACAGCTAGTTTGTGTCAAATCTTAGGAAATTTATATTTTCAGTTTCAAGATACCTAGCAAGCGTGTTTGACATTGTCTGATGCCCAAATACACAACTCACTGAAGTGAATCTCAAGTGCAGAAACCATTCTTCAGACGTTCTCCACTTAGTATCAGTAGAAAGCCTTCCAGAGGCAATAAAAACCAGAGATTAGCAACATATCAATTTTCAGGCCGGCTACTCCTAAACACTCGTAATTCATTTACCCTCCTGCAAATCATTATTCTGAAGGTTAGATTCACTTGTAGCCCCACTTGGGTCTTAAATCTCATTTCAAAGCACTCTTATCATTCATCCATTTTCAGAACTATGATTAGGAGTGATGGGAATTTGGCACAAAAATCAATGAGAGGATATGATATGGGTTCCTTATAACTTTTTCTTCTTTGAGCACCATGTCAAGTATAGTCTATAAAAATCTTTTTTTTAAGGGTAGTTCTTCATCTTGCTATCATTTCTACTCAAATGAGTTCATAAACTTGGGATGTGTTTTTCCACAATTTTTTCAGGAAAGCAAAATTTGTTGTCATTATTGTTAATTTCTACCTAAAATAATTTAAAAATATTAATTGAATTCTTTTACTACTGTTGTTCTTCATTAGCTTATTAACTTTTAGAAAATATAGGCCTTGGTAGGCTACTTCTATCTAAAAAATACTGCATTAGTTATGTTTGGTTGTTATCACCTACAAATATATACTCTTTTTAAAAAAAAAATTGCTGATTGACCTTTATTTATTTATTTATATGTGGTGCTGAGACTTGCACCTAGTGCCCCACGCATGCCAGGCATGTGTGCTACTGCTGAGCCATAACCCCAGCCCACAAATATGTACTCTTGAATGCATTTAATTTTTCTTTTCTCTGGGACTCAGAGTGGTATGTCACTAATTTTTGAAAAAAGTAAGATAGTGACCTTTTATGGCAAAAGAAATGAAAAGAGTGAGACTATTGATTGGAGAACATAATTTGCAAATAGCATTGTTCCTCCTCCCAATTTCAAATTGTATCATGAACTGAATTCATACTATATTCATACTATAAGCATCTGTGAATATCTTTGTTAAAATGGCTCAAACTTAATTTTTCTAGCTTATGTGTATAATGTTTATACTATAAAGAAATAACTTTTTTTGCATAGTTCATTTCTCTTAGTTTTGCCAGTGGGGTAAAACAACCTCCAATTATATGAATAAATTAGCATGTTTTCCTCTTTACTTATATTCCAAGAAATAAATTAATTGATTGGAAAGGATACTGAGAGAATTTTAGATCTCCTTTTTGTTCCCCATACCCATCTTGATCTAATATATGTGCTTATTCAACAGGAAAAGTGCTCACACTTACTTGAGGGTCAGTTCTTCTGCCTTCACTTCTGACGTTAATCCTGCCCTTCTTGACTTTCCTTATGACAGCAGTAGTAATCATAGCCAGAGCCATGATCACAGAAGTAGCACTGGAGGTGCTAATGGCAGTAATAATGATAATGATGTCATTTACTGGTTCTTGTGTTGCTATTTGTCAAATAATTACCATGTACCAGGAGATATGCCAAATGGTTTGCATGACTTTTCTTTCCACCATCACAAGCCTGCAAATTTAACCTTAAAACCAGTTTCTTTTCCTAAATGGAAATTCTTCTTGCTCAGAAGGATAGTGTGATAGTGAAATTCTGTCCATTTAGATAATACAGGGAGGAGCCAGAAGTTAATTCCAATCTCCTCTCTACAATCATGTAAATTTTTTGCTTCACCATTTCCACATGAAATATATATCCAAAAGAAGAAATTGTGAAGGCAGAGAAACAGAATAAGGTGCATTTTAATTCTACTGAGGCTTTTAAGGAATATAAAAAATTTCTTCCAGATTTACAAGACTAAAATCTTCTAATTATTATTTAACACACTTTAACTACAATTAAGCTTTAAGCTAAGGGAAATTTACTTGATGAAAATGTTAAAGAAAATTGAAAATTTAGATTTTCTATAGAATCTAATGCATAAAAATATAATATAGAGATAAATAGTGAAATTGAAAATATGTAATCTTGTGTATAGACTAATCAACATTTTCTCCTTTTGATTTGGAATTATTATTACAGATAATGTGGTTTATACACAATATACATGAAAATATAATAAATGATGCTTTTGGCAAAGAAAAATAATAATTGATGAAAGCTTTTTTTCTCTTTATTATTGAATGATTTACTTCACACCTGAGTAATTTGGAAATGAGAATGTTATGAAAGTTGTCTTAATTTTTTAGTCAGTCTTCAGTTTTCTTAAAAGTGCCATGAAATGGTTATTTCAAGAAATCTCTGAATTACCTCTGGATTTAATTCTCTAGGGGTCAAGTGTGGTTAAGATAATCAGATATGTCTACTGACCATTGAGGGGGACTTTCAAGCCATGCATTGACAGCAATGTTATAAAGAAAAGTGAAAGACTAACAAAATTGTTATATTTCACTCTGTATATAGAAATGCTATAAGAGGAAAAGGTAAATAATTGAAGCAGAACTTTCAAGACTAAGGTTATAAAATATTATCTTTGTGAACATGTGCCTGTGCATTTGTGTGTGTGTAAGTAGGTTTCAAGCAAAGTTAAAGAAAAAACTCACAAGAAATACAAAGGAAGGAAAACTAAACATTAACTATTTATCTCAAGTAATCAGTGAATTGCAAATGAAGCAAAATTTTTCTCTTATATTATTGCACATATTTTAAATACCAGTGATAATATTGATATGCTTAAGGAAGCAAGACTACTATTATTTTCCAAAACATTAATTTTAAAATTATATATATGTATACATAGTCTCAAAAAATATAAAAGTGAGTATGTTATTTGTATCAGCAATTCTCATTTAAGAATGTCTCCTGAAGGGAGGATTGTTGATGGGTTTGAGAAAATTTCTGTCATGTCATAAGCTAGGAAAGTTTATGACTAAATTATATAAAGTCATAAAATGATATTCCATGCAGCCACTTAAGTGATATTTAAAGGGACACCTAATGATATGAAAGCTTGTTGATTTTATATTGTCTAGCAAAGAAAACAAAAAGGACAGTGTAATCGTGATTTGTCAAAAACAAATAAAACATTTATATATTCATATATACATATACACAAAACTAGGTGCAAATAAAAAACATGTTAACAGAAGTTGTTTCTGGAAGAAACAACTGGATATAATAAGATCTTCCAAGACTATTATAATACTGGATATGATAAGATTTTCAAACATTATTCTCTTCCTTGCCCTGCAAAAAAAAAAAAATTCAGAAAAATTTAATGACCTCAATAGAAAATTATTAGGAAGGATAGTAGAATGAAACAGGCGTTATTATTACTGTGTGTATATATGTGAATGCATGACCAATGTGATTCTGCAACCTGTATACTCAGAAAAATAAGATATTATATCCTATCTGATTCAAATGTATGATATGTCAAGGTCATTGTACTGTCATGTGTAACTAATTAAAACAAATAAAAAAAAAGAAAACATACATCACAAAAAAATGAAAATTATTATGCAGTTAAAACAGGATATCCATACAGAGTTCTATCCACTTTATTTTATACTGATTTCAAATCTTCCTGAGAGTATGTTTTTACTGATTTTCAGAAATGACATATTGAACCTAAATAAATAAAAATCATTTCAAAAGGCATCTTGTTCCAAAAGCCTATTGCTCTTGGAAATGGTAGGGGAAATGGTAACAGAGAAGTGAAAATGAGTGGAAGAAAATGAACAGGTTTCATGGCCTGGATGGGAGCATAGATGGAACTTGGGAGATGAGAAATGCTTATGAGTCCAAAAGGTTTCAGGGTGAGGGGTAAATGCAGAGGAAGAGACAATGTGGGAGTGGGCTGGGAGGTAGGGGACTGCTGCTGAGCAAATATGTTTGTGTTTTTTTCATCAACATTCGATGTGAATTTCTAAATTATATTTTCCTTACTGAATGTTTGACCAGGAAATGCATTTACAACCACAACTGTGATAGACAGCAAAAATGGATCTGTGCCCAAATCCCCTGGAAAAGTGCTGAAGAGGACAGTCACAGAAGACATAGTGACGACATTCAGCTCACCTGCAGCCTGGCTTCTGGTCATTGCTCTGATAATAACCTGGTCAGCTGTTGCCGTTGTTATGTTCGATTTAGTTGATTACAAGAACTTTTCAGGTAAGATCCAGGAGGTTTGACTTTTAAATTAAAAGAAAAAAAAAATGTTCTCCCGAGTTGTGGCTTTGTTTCTCTGCATTCCATCCTGTATCCTGACAATGTGATTGGCGGTCACTGAAGTCAGTTTTCTTCTCTTTTCCTTCTGTTGTCTTCCTTTGTCTGTTCTGCTTTCAGGGATGAATAAAGGCTGACTAATGCAGCTTTGTAAAGATAAGTATTAAAAAGCTTTAGTGAAAATTGAGTTTTGGAACTGATACTTCATCAAGTACCAATAAAGACTAATTTGTAGATTTTACACTTGGTGATAAAAAAAAAAAAAACTAAACCAAACAAAAAAGATTTTGGACAAGTGAAAAGTAAAGTATTTCTTTTGCTGGAGTCATCCAGTCCCAAGTTTCATTTCATTCTTCCCCCCAGCAAACCATTGTCTTTTGAGTTCCTGAAAATAAAGAATGTTAGAAGGATTTTCCTGGCATAGCTTGTAATGAGATACTACATCTTGAGCATCCATATATTTTCATAAATTTGGAGTAAAATAGGAAGTTAGAAAGGGAAGATGTTCATTGTGGTCTGTTCAATCCCTGAGCACCTCATTCATCTTTTTGTTCCAGGACTTTTTCTCTTTCTTAATTTATATTTACCTAGTTCCACAGTTGCTACCCCAAGTTGACTGTGAGTTCCTGGAGGAAAGGAATAGGTGTGGTGCTCAATAAGTATTTCACAAGTAGATGGATGAATTATGCACAACCCTTTTATCACAAGAAAAAGAATTTCATGAGCCAACTGGGGTTCTTTCTCATATGTGTACTCTTCCTTCCCTTATTTTCCTTTTCCAGTAGGAGTAGACTCAGTAGAACCCAGAGACTATAAGTTCAACTAAAAAGCTCTATATTCAGAGATCTGCTGGCTTCTCATTTTAAATTTCACTGATTCAACAATTATTTATCAAGTTTTTACATAGTGTCAGGAAATGCCTGTGCCACAAAAGTCAAAAGAAATACAACATAAATATCATGAATGTATAGAACTGTATTATTTGAGTTTATGAGATGAAGGTATGACTTGGATGACTTCTCCCAGGTATACCATTCACAGTTGGACTATAGGTGGGCCTTGTCTAGCAAGCAAAGATAAGTCTCATAATGTCAACCAAAGCAGAAGGGCAATTTATCCAGGTACATGAATGTCTGCTTTAATCAGGCAATACTGTTTTGTGTTCTGCAATGTAGACTCTTAAAGAATTTACAATTGAAATGGCTATAATATAAAATTATGACCTTGAATTTTAAGTGAGAAATGCTTGGTAACAATGTGACACTTTAGTATATTCCATTTCCTTTGAGCCTGTACCAACTGAAGTGTTTTACCTCTCATTTCCTTTTTTAAAAAATTCATTTATTTAAATTTTAGAACCACATATGATTGTAAAATATAGGTTTTTTTCTTTCTTAGAATAGACATATATGAGTGGCATGTAAATGTCATCTTTGCAAGTTAATGATTTTATGAGAACACTACAGAAATTAGCACTGCAAGATATTTGTTTTTATTTTATAAATGCAGTTACCTACAATTATAGTTTCAGACTACAGTATTAAAATATAAGACACATTTTCCACTGGACCACTATAATTAAGTGCAATGGCTAATACCTAGGTTACTGGCATTTTATCTGACAGGGAAAAGAAGAGCTGTGTTATTGACACTTCATCTTATCTTTCATAAGTGTTTATTAAGCACATCTTTGATGTAAGGCCTCCTTTTTCAGGTTCCCATATTTATTAATGACATAACTATCTATCCATTACCCATAAAAGGAACCTGAAATTACTTTTTAAATCTCCTTGGATGCTAAGCAGTCAACACAGTCAAAGACCATGTGCTTACATGGCTTGTAAATTTGGCTTTCTCCTCTCATTACCATATCACCATTACAACACTTCATGCATTCATTCTCTTTGGAAGGCACTCATGTCATTTCTTCTTAGCTCCTTCATCTTCTCTGTATCCACCAAATTGCTCTAAAGACATCTTCATAAAACACACATTTGATCAATTAAGATATTTTCTATTGCTTAAGTATAATGAACTCCTTGGCATGAAATTCAAGTCCTTGGCTTAGCTCTTAATTTTTATTTTGTAAGTCAGCATATGTACCCTGTTTTTCAATCATGTTTCCTTCTGCTTTTCCCTGTTGGTCCCAGGAAAACAAACTCTCATTCCTTGCTAACTTTGCTCATACCATTTCTCCCACTCCAACTCCCAGTAGAGCAGAAAGAATAATAGTTAATAGCTAAGACTAGAAGTCTGATGCTTCATTTCCTTGGTATAAATTTATACTTTAGTATTTGCTACCTCTGTGATATTGGAAACATTATCCTCTCTGTGCCTTAGTTTGGTCTTCTATAAAGTAGGATTTCAAATAGTACTTATGCAGTAGGATTGTTAAGAGGATTATATGATGGAATATATTTGAGATGCTTACAATAGAACCTGATTTATCATAAGTATTGTAATAGTGTGAATATTGATAATACTAGGAGTAGAGACACATTCCTCAATATTCCTTCTGAGAATGTTTTACTAATACTTCAAGACCCATCCTTCTTCTGTAAAGCATTCTGAGACTTCATAAGAAAAATGCACTGTACCTTATGAGCAACTGTATTAAGAGCAATTAACACACTGTATTCTAAACCTTTGTTGACTTGCCCTTCTCACTCAGAAACATAAACTTATCTAAGAAAGGACTGTTTTTATCTCTGTATGAAAGTGCCAGTCAACATAGTAAGTTTTCTGAAATAAGAGTAAATAATGCTAACATTTTGATTTTGAAACAGTTTCTTATATTTCACAAAGAAGCATATTTATATAATTTTATTTTATTTAATTCAGCAGCTTTTGACCAACCTTAAAAATTAACAAAGCAAATATAATGATACTGGAATGAATAAAATAAGTGCTTATGAAGTGAGATTTTATTGGTCACATTTTATAGAACAATTTATATGCATACTAAATTACTTCAAAAAGTAAGTGGTTTAAAACAACAACAAATATTTATTATTTCATTTGGTATCTATGGGTCAGTAATTTGAAAATGTGTTGGGTGGTATTGCCCTAGGTTTTGTCTTGAGATTGCAGTGAAGCTATCAGTTGGGGTGGCAGTTAACTGAAAGGTTGACATGAATGGTGAGATATTTGCAGGACATCTTACTTGGCTGTTAAATCAATTCTGGTGTGTCCATGCACAAGGCAGATGGCTTTACCCAAAGTGAGAGATATAAGAGAACAAAGCAGAAGCCAGAGTGCTCTTATGACCTAGACTTGGAAATCCCAGAACTTCATTGCTGCAAAATCCTTTGGGTGACACCATCCAATCCTATTCAGTTTTGGAAGAAACTGCATAGGAGTGAGAACACCAGGAGACAAAGATCAATGGGTACAATTTTGGAATCTTGTTACCATATGTTTCATTCTCATAAAAAGTTATATTGCAAAAGAATACAACTTGATATGAATAATTATGGGCACCTGTATTAAGAGCAATTAACACACTGTATCCTAAACCTTTGTTGACTTTCCCATCTCACTCAGAAACATAAACTTATCTAAGGAAGGACTGTTTTTATCTCTGTATGAAAGTGCCAGTAAACATAGTAAATTTTCTGAAATGCATTGGTAAGAGTGAATAATGCTAACATTTCGATTTTGAAACAATTTCTTATATTATACAAAGAAGAATATTTATATGATTTTATTTTGTTATACTCTAGTTGACAATAAGTATGTTAATTACAACAGATTCAGAAGAATATGATGTGTTAGAATGACTGGCATCATGAGGCCATATTTAGGATGATAAAAATTCAGGAATGGATTTGAAATGAAAAAAAAAATCACAAAGCTTTTAAAAGAAAAATATATAAATTCTTCAAATAAGAAATTCAAATACATTTAGCTCATTAAAATTTAAATAATCAATTTCTGAAGCCAAAAGTATATATATATTCAAAGATTCACTGGAATTATAATATAAAACCTTTACTTTGTATTCATTTTATGTGGATGGGATACATTCTCTGATATGAAAATCTAATCCCATTTATTCATTTAGTAAGGTCTAAACTATCTTGTTTATGTCAGCTCTTCCAGAAAAGGATATTTACTTCAATAACAGTTTCAACATGTAAACGGTACTCTAATTCTTTTTTGTTTTTGGGGGGCGGGTAGGGATGAGAGACAGGGATTGAACTCAGGGGTCGGGTCAGCCACTGAGCCACAGTCCTATTTTGCATTTTATTTACAAGACCCTGTCATGTCTCACATAGTTACTTAGCACCTTGTTTTTGCTGAGGCTGGCTTTGAACTCAGATCCTGCTGCCTCCTCAGCCTCCAGAGCCAGAGCCGGCTGGGTTTAGAGGCATGAGTCACCATGCCTGGCTCTTCTGTTTTTAATGTTAATTTTAGTGGATATGATTTAGAATATTACTGGGGATTAATATTGTCATCATGATGAGTTTTTGGACCACCTAATAGATTTTGAATGTAATTGCTAATGTTTTAAAAGGAAATCCAACAGGAGAAGGAAGCATGGCTGGAGGTGATCCTAAATACTAGAGAGTCAGAGCAGCAGGCACTGTGTCTTGATTTTCTCTTTGATGCTTTTATAAAAGTAGATAAATACTTTGAAGCCATTATAAAGTTGTTCATAGATAAATGAAAATTTATTTTTGTAAGCACATTCTTTCTGGATTGAGAGGAATGAGTCTCCTTTGGGCAACCTTCACAATTCCTTATTTTCAGCATTTGATCTGATTTAGCCAAGTCTTATCTACTTGTGGAATGTGTAGAAGGGGCTTCTTTCAGAAGTCTTAGTTTCATTTTATACCTCTGTTACCTACAAGCTAACCTGACTAGCAATGTGTATTTCTGTGCCATTGAAGTGGGGATATCACCTTGCTTTCTGTATTGTGAAATGTGTGAGTTTGATTCTTTTT